TCCCGGCGCGGGTTTTTTTTTTTTTTTTTTTTTTTTTGGTTTGTTTTTTTTTGGTTTTTGTTTTGGCTGTTTTCTTTGTGCGACTCGTCCGGAATCTTAGGTGTATCAGTAAGTTCCAGGCCTCTGAGCAGCGCTGGGCCCGAGGGTGTGGGGTCTATTATGCGCGAGTCCTGAAGTCGTGGTTGGAGGAGGCGCTTTGTCGGGCGCTCCTCCTCTCGGCCCCGCGAGGCCATTAATTCGGAATGGGCGAGTCGGGCCCCTGCAGTGATATTTCTTTGTCAAAACTGTTAGGTGGGAAGTTCCTCCGCTCCTCCAGATCCCACCACTTTAGTAGTTGGTGTCCTGTACGCCCTTTTTCTAGACTTGCTGCCTAGCTCCTCGACCCACTTACAGCGTCACGTTTTAAATGGAACTTAAACTTACGGATTTTCTGTAAGGTATTTTCCGCTTGGAGAAAGTCTGATCGGAAGCTGACACCCTTTTTTGTATTTTGAACAGAAGTCGAGGTTAGAGAGGACCGGGAGGCACTTTGCTGTCTTCAATCGAAGTTGAGGTAGGTTGCGCAGTAGGGTTGCAAGATAATACAGGGCGCTCAAGTGAATCGGTCTTTCAAATAGATAGATTATTTTTAAGTATACGTTCCATGGTATTTATCCAAAAAAGTTTTGGAAAATCTGAAATTTATATTTAATTGTGGGTTGTTTATCTTTGTGGGTTATTTTATTGCTAAATCTGGCTACTCTAGTAGAGGGGCATTGGCTAGATTTTATACTGAGTCTTTGTCTAACTTCCTTGTTACTAAATGAAAGGTTCTAAGAACCTCTTAGAAAAAAGGACCTTATCCTGTCAGTTCATTTTACAGCTTTCAGGTAGGCCATCCAGGCAGTTACCTGAGTCTGGTAATATTATACCAGGTAGTCCCTGCAGTTTTCACTTTGATTTGATCCTTTTCCTGGAAACAAGGGAATATTTATTTTGATTTTAGATAATGTGTGATGTAGTGAGTGATCTTGTACCTAAACATTTGTATAGCCGTATCAGGCCCAGTAGCTAGTCTTTCAAAATCAGCAATACGTATTTTCCCTAAAGTTCTTCATCAGGGTTAGTCTTCCGGAGGAATAAGTGGATGGAAATCCTTGCTGCAAATCTTTGTTTTCTTTTCAGAGGCCAAATAGTTAGGGAGCAGTGAATTTATTACAAGAGATCGGTGCACTTATTTACAGTTGCATTGATGGTCTTCATTAGAAGTAGGTGAGAAGTACAGCTTAAGTACTTGCTATTTGTAGGCACTGTTGTTACTTTGTTTTCACCATTGATGCCTCTTGGGAAAGAATACATGGAAGGGAAAGATTATAAAGACCAGCATTGTAGGGGCCCTTATTCAAAAGCACAAAGGTAGGCAATTTGGTTACTTAAAAATTGCCTTTTGTTGAAATTCAGAAGTTCAAGGAACAGTGTAACTGATGACATTTGCTTAACTGGAGCACCCCCTGTATTTATGTAGCACTAGGGTGGGCGGGTGGTTGCCTTTAGGAATGAGTGCTCCAGTGCTCTCTTTGTTCCCCGGATAGGGTCTAAGTGCTGTGTGTACATTGTTTCATTTAGGCCTTAAAATAACCAGCCCTGTGAGGTAAATATTACTGGCATTTCTTAAGTCAGGAAATGGAGGCTCTTAAGTTAGGTGACATGGCCGGTGAGTTTGTTGGAATCTAAACTGAAATCAAAGTGTGTTTGATTACGGAGATTGTACTGATAGAGATGTGTATGAATTTCAGAATTCAACAGACTCGGGTTCCATTCCCTGGGACCTTGGGTAAGCAGAGTACTTCTCTAAGCATCACTTTTCTTGTCAGGAATAGTGCTTGTGAGCACTAAATGAGATGATGCCGGCTTAGCACAGTGCCTGGCTTTTAACTGTCGATAAACATCAGGTGCTATCTTACCTACTAGACTATACTTTCTAAATCCCAAAAAATAACTTCTTAAAGTAACCATAAGTGATTGAGAACATCTTAATATTTTGCACCCAGCACTCTCCTTTAAGAGGTAGATTATAACTACTGGGAAGTAGAAATGGAATGATCAGATGTAAATATAGGGTTTTGACTATTTAAATTTAAAATGAATCTTAAGGATTTCCCTTTTTTTTTAGAATTATTTTATTTTAATTTTTTTTAAAAATTTGATCAGAAGGAGACAGAGAGGGAGAGAGAAAGTGAGAAAGCAAGCCACCAAGTCCAGGACTTGAACCGTGCGCGGTCAGCCATGTGGGAGTGTCCAGCACCTTAATCACCATGCCACCCGCTGGTCACCGAATCTAAAGATTTCTATTAACAAGTAACTATATCTTGGATTCTTGAATGGAATGTAGGGTACTGAGGCTAGGGCCACTGACTCAAAGGCTTTACATCCTATTTGTAAAAAAAGAAAACCATACAAAACACTTTTTTTAAAGGTGTTCAAGCAGTGCTGCACTATGTGGCAAGAGTCACAAAGACAGATCTTTTTTTAAGAGGTTTTTGCCATAGGATGGGGGGAGCAAGAGACAGAGTCAGAGGGAAAGTGGGAAATCACCCCCTAGGGAGGTTGGGTGCGTGCGCACACACATACACACACACACACATCTGGCGTGATTTTCAATCCAAGCCACTGGGTCTGGTACTAGAACCACAGTCAGCCATGTGGTAGTCCAGCGGCGAAGTAGAAAGCTAAAAGCAAGAAGACTATTGCTGCAGCACTGTAAGAAAGAAACTGAAAACAATCTAAGTGTTTCATAGTAGGGAGTAGTTTACTAGATTAGTGTATATTCAGGTATACTTTATGTAACTTAAAAATTAGATAGTAGGGGCCAGCAGGTGGCATGGTGGGTTAAGGTGCTGGACTCCCACATAACTGACTGTATTTTGAATCCCAGACCTGTGGCTTAAGGCTCATGCTGGGCACGTATATGCGCATACCCAAAATCCTGAGAGGAGAATAGAGAAGGGATTGTGGCCATCCGCCCGCCCCCACCTCCAGCAAGCACATGCTCTCAATGGCAAAAAAAAAAAAAATAGTGTTGACATTACAGAAATGAGGAAAAGTAGAATACACATTGGTACATTATTAATTCAGTTATTGAAAACTAAATGTAAATAAACAAAAATGAATATTGTTGAGAGTATTTAATCATGGATGTGCCCAAATATTTAGCTATGAGCATTGATTTTAATGATGAAAAATTAGAAACAACCTAGACAACCCAACCAAGTCATCTACACAGTAGGAACTTGGTTGACAGCTGAATACTGTGTTCATTAACAATTAATGTAAAAGATTTGGAATCAGCAAGTGGCATGGTGGTTAAGGTGCTGGACTCCCAAGTGGCTGACTGCTGTTCAAGTCCCGAACCTGGCTGCTAGAAAATCACGTGGGGAACATGTGCATGCATGCCCCAAATCCCAAGGCAAGAATGGAGGAGAGAGGATTATAGGTGGCCATCCCTTGTGAGGGGTGATTTCTCTGGCAAGTACACGGGCCCTGTGGCAAAACCCTTGAAAATAAAAATAAAACAATAAATGTAAAAGTTTTAATTACCGGGGAATGGCAGGTGGTGTGGTGGTTAAAGGCGCTGGAATCCCACATGGCCAACTGTGGTTTGAATCCTGAACCTGGTGGCTTGCTTTCTCACTTTTCCCTTTCTCTCTCTCTGGCCAAGTTAAAAAATAAATAGTAACAACAAATGGGAATAAGTGAATAATTGTTTAAAAAAAGTTTTAATTACCTGAAAGCAGTATCATAAAGTAGAAAAGGTAGGTGACAAGACAGTTTTTATAATATTCCGTTTCAGATACATATAGATATGTAAATTAATTTTTAGGGCATACCAAAATGTTAATGTTAATAGTGACTTTTTTAGTGGTGACTTTTTTTTTATAATTGTTATTTATTTAATTTAATTATTTTTAACTTGGAGGGAGAGAGAAAGTGAGAGAACAAGCCACCAAATTTGGGACTCAAACCATGGTTGGCCACGTGGGAGTCCAGTGCCTTAACCACCACACCAACTGCTGACCCCCTAGTTTTTTGTTTTTTTGAGAGAGAGATTTTTGCTATAGGACATGTGCACTCAACAGAGAGACAGAAGAACAAAGAGACAGAAAGTGAGAAATCACCTCTGGGGGTAATGACCATGTTGCAGTCTCTTCTCCATTCTCCTCTCTGGATTTTGGGCACATGCACACACAGGCTTGGCGTGAGTTTCAAGCCACCAGCTCCAGGCTTGAACTGTGATGGACTACATGAGAGTCCAGTGATATAACCATTATGCCATCAGCTGGTCCCTGTAGTTATTATTTTTTAACTTGAAGAAAGGAGGGGAGAGAGAGAGAAAGTGAGAATGCTAGCCACCAGATCGGGATTTGAACCAGTCTACCATGTGGGAGTCCAGTGCCTTAACCACCATGCCACCTGTCAGCCCCAGTCTGGATTTTTCATTTATTTGTTTTTATTTCTATGTTTTCTATATTAAAGATGTAGTTTGTAGTAAGTACCTTTTTATAATTTCTGATGCTTTGTAATATTTACAAGAAACAGGATTGATGAAATGTTAGAAATGAGAAAACTCATCTTTGCTTAAATACCAACTTTTCAGTGAGATTTACCTCAGTTGTTTGAAATTGCCATCTGCCTTCTTCTATTCCTTTTTTGCTTTACCCTCCTCCCCCATTTTCTTTATTTTCCCATGGTACTTACCTCTTACTATGGATATTTATTTGTTTTGTCTCTCACTAGAAGTTAAACTCTGAAGGCAAGAGTGTTTTGTTCAGTGATCCATTGCAGACACCTAGAATAGTATCTAACAAATAGTAGGCATTTAATGAATTTTAGTTGAGTGAATTAGTAAAATCAGATTATTGATAACCTATTGGCAGAAGGGAGTTTTCATTTATTTTTCCTCTGTTTTCTCCATTTACACATTGAAAATGCAAAACAAAACAAACCTTTTCCCTCTGGGACCATCAAACATTTTTCATGTTTGCATGGTCTTTTTTTGAGGGGGTGGAAAGAGGGTTTTGCTATAGGGCGCATGAGCTCTTCAGAGACAGAAAGCGAGAAATCACCCCCTCAGGGGGGTGGCCATCTCGCAGTCTGTTCTCCATTTTCCTTTCGGAATCTTGGGCACGCAAGCACACGCGCTCGCATGAGTCTAAGCCACTGGGTCTGGAACTTGAACTGCGGTCGACTACATGGGAGTCCAACAACATAGCCATTATACCAACTGCTGGTCCCATCTTCACATTTTTTTTTCTTTTTGGAGAGATTTTTGCTATAGGGCATGTGTGCTCACCAGAAAGACAGACAGTGAGACAAAAAAGTGAGAACTCAACCCCCAAGGGGGGATGGCCATGCCACAATCCTTTCTCCTCCATTTTCCTCTTGGGATTTTGGGCATGTACATAGACTTGGTTGGTGAGAGTTTAAGCAGCCAGAATCAGAACTTGAACCAGGGTGGTGGAAGTGTGAGTCCATCAACGGAACCATTACTGCCATCTGCTGGTCCCCGTAACTTTTTTTAAAATTTTTTTTTGGAGAGATTTTCACTGTAGGGCGCGTGCGCTCGCCAGACAGCGAGAGAGAGACATAGAGACAGAAAGCGAGAAATCACCCCCAGGGGGGATGGCCACACTGTAACCC